AGGGGAGAAATGGGCTTGACTGTTCTCTGAGAAAATAATACCTTTAACGTTATCGCCTCGCTAAACTCCTATAACTGGATGTATTTCCTAGAATTCAAAAAGTGTTATCTCTTCTCCAACCCAGCGGAGTATACCAAGGTTTAGTTTCTTCATTCTAGAAATGCACTAATTGAGTAAAAGGTAAAAGTCATCGACCATTAATCTCACGATAATTAACTTTAAGCAGCCCTGTGGTTAAAAACTGTATAATCTGCACCGTTGATTCCTTTCAGCTAATTTCAGTTGTACATCCTTTTGTATAGTTCCTGATGCCAAAGAGGACCAAAAGTGAAGTGAAATATTTCTGTCTATAAAACTTCCAAAATTAATATGCATAATAAGTGCATTGGATCTGAGTATTCCATCAGGGCTGTTATGTTCCTGAGGAAACAGAAATGAAAAATACACTGCTTGGAAAGAGATAAGATCATTTGTTCTGAAAAAATTATCCCTGCAGCAAAACATTCTTATTTTTCAAGACAAGAGCTTCTCTATTTTCCCGATAGGGAGCAAGACCTAGATTGCGCGGCAGGGAATGACTCCTGTTCCATTGATATGTCACAGAAGCTGCTGGTATTACCCATCTTCCTGGGCAGTACACATGCGAGGGTTTGGTTTGAGTGTGTTGTTTCATTCATAGAGTTCTAACATCAGACAGGGCTCCGTAAATATTTTACAGGCAGCAGCTTATTCAGGAAGACTTGCAGCCATTCCTGATACTGTCTGAGCAATTTCAAATGGATCTGAGGAAATTTCTGGAAGAAAAAGAAAAACTAGAGGTGCGTGTCCTTCTTACCTTTATGCATAAGCGCCAAGTCTCAAGTAAGCATGAATGGAGAGAGCCTTGGTTTTGTTTGGATGTATAGGGCACATCTGGTGGTCTTTCACTTTCACTTTTCAGCCAATCAACTTAGTACAGAATCCCCAGTCTCCCTAGGTGGAGGATATCCTGCATGGGTTGGACTTCTGATCCAGGTGACAGAAATATGTTACAGTAGGAAAGAGAAACATTGATTTTGAGAAAGAATTCCAGGAGACTGCGGCTTAGAACCAAGCTGGATGTGGGTGGGCACAGGTGACTCAGGCAGTACCTTTGCGACCCTGTCTCCATCCCTTAGTGCTCTCTGTCTGTGTGGGAAGCCGGGCAGCCCCTTGCCAGCTTAGCCATGGAAGCAGTGGAGCAGCCCCAGAGGATGAAGGCAGCCCTGTCAACTGCCCTCTGGAAAGGTGTCTGTGCTCTGGCTTGGACCGCAAGCCCCTTTCTGAATGAGCCCCGGTGTTCAGGGCTAGATTCATGCTGAATGGGAGGATCTGGGTCCTCTGCCCGTCCTTGGGGTGATGGAAGGTGACCCAGCTACACAACCTACCATACGGTCCACAGCTCCATGAATTCTCTGATCTTTCATTCCTGAATTGTTTGTCGCTTTGCCACACAGCTCTGAACCCAGACACCAAAGCTATGGCTCACATTAAGAAAAATGCATTGGGGCTGTTTATTCAGCTCAGTTTGGGAAAGGATAAGTCAAGGTGCTTGTGAAATATCCATGGGGACATGCTGAGTGGTCTGCTGGATATGGGAGCTGCATTCAACAGAGCGGGATAAAAACTGGGGAACTGTCGGCATCCTGATAGCATTTCATTCATGACCCTGAATGAACTCACCAGCAGAGTGATAGTGAAAGGTCAAAGAGA